CTCTGACTTGTGCGACGCTGAATGTGCGTGGATTGCGTGACTTGGGTGTGCAGATGGGCTTGGTGGCTGTGCTTCGTGAGCAACGTGTAGATGTAGCCTTTATTCAGGAGCATAATGTGCGTGACTTGAGTGCTTTGTGTGGGTTGACTGATGATTTTCATGTAGTGCTTAATCCGCCGAGGATGTCCTTTGGGGGCACGCTGATGCTGTTCTCCCGGAGGGCGTCCATTTCCGTGCTTCACACGGAGATGGATGAAGATGGCCGGGTGTTCGCTCGTGTGCGGTACCTCGGGGTGGAGATTCCCTTATTGACTGTGTACGCTCCTTCTGGCACAGCGCGTCGCAAGGAGAGGGAGGAGTTTTTCCAGGGTGGGCTGTTACACTTCTTGCGTCATGACACAAGGGACATGGTTTTTGGGGGCGATTTTAATTGTCACTCTAGCATGGGATGCAATAGTGTGCATCCGCAGAATGTTTCTCGGGCATTAGTCTCCACCTTACAGAGTTGTGGGTTTCGTGATGCTGCTCTCATGTTTGGGGGCGATTTGGAATTCACCTTTGTTGCGCGAGGGGCGTGTTCCAGGCTGGATCGTTTTTATGTTCATGGGCGGGAGGGCTCTGTTTTTGCGTTTCGTACGGTTCCTGTTGCCTTTTCTGATCATTGTTTGGTTGTGATGCGTGTTGCTGTTCGTAGTCAGGTTCGTGTGGGGAGGGGTTGGTGTTAGTTGAATTGTCGGTTGTTGCATTGTCCTTGGGTGCGTGAGGCGTTTCATGGTGGTGGGTGGGGCTTGTTGCACGCAAGTGCGAGTTTTCGTCTGTGTTGGACTGGTGGGAGTGGTGCAAGGTGGAATGAAAGTCCTTTTTTGCTGTGGTTGCGAGACGTGAGGCAGCGGGGCGGTTTGGTTTGTTGCGCTTTCTTCAGGCGCGGTTGACTCGGTTGTATGTGTTGCTAAATAGTGGGGCTGATTGTTTTGATGCTATTTCTGTGTGTAAGGTGCGCATTTGTGGTTTGCGGGAGGAGTTGGCAAAAGGGGTTCGGGTGCGGGCTCGTGTTGACAAGCGTGTGTCTGGTGAACGGCTTTCTCCTTTTCTTTTGCGGAAGGAGAAAGCCCTTCGGGACTCGGTTCTTTTCACCGGTCTCCAGCGTCCGGATGGTTCTGTTTTGTCTAACATGGATGGGGTCCTGTTGTATGTGCAACAGGAATTGGGGGCGCTGTATGGGGAGGTAGGGGTGGATGAGGGTTTGGCTGTTTTCTTTTTGCGTCACTGCTCGCCTGGTTTGTCAGCTGCGGGTTGCTCCGCTTTGGTGAGGGACGTGTCGTCGGCTGAGCTTTGGGATGTGGTGCGGTCTTTCCATTCCAGCAGAGTGCCTGGCTCGGATGGGCTCCCTGTGGAATTTTATGTGACGTTCTGGGATGTGATTGGGGAGGCTTTTTTGGAGGTGGTGCGATTTTGTTTCCAGACCTGTTCTTTACCCGCGTCCCATTATGATGGGGTTGTGAGGTTGCTTCCGAAGCCAGGTGATTTGCGTTTTCTGTCACATTCGAGGCCGATCACCCTGTTAAATGTTGATTATAAAGTTGTCTCGAAGTTGCTGGCAGGTCGGTGTCGGGATGTTATTGGTTCTGTAGTTTCGGGTGAGCAATTTTGTGGCGTTCCGGGTAGGTTTTTGCTTCAATGCAATGCTCTTTTACGTGATGTGCTTCTGTGTGCCTCTGAGCTTCGCCTGCCTGCGGCGATGCTCAACTTAGATTGGTCGAAAGCATTCGACAGTGTGTCGATGGGCTTTGTGTTACAGGCTATGGAGAGGTTCGGGTTTCCTCCGTTGTTTCTTTCTTGGGTTCGTATGTTGTATGCCCGCTGTCATAGTCGTGTATACATTAATGGTATTTTTAGTGCCCCCCTTTGCCGTTCGCCGTTCGGTGCGGCAGGGGTGTCCCTTATCTATGCTCCTTTATGCTCTTTTTCAGGAGCCTTTGTTTCGTGCGGTTAAGTCCTGTGCTTTAGTGGTTCCTCCGAGGCTGCCCGCTGGTCTCTGTTTACCGATCTGTGGGTATGCTGACGATACGGTTCTGTTTGTGGCGACCGATGGCTCTGTGGTTGCGGTTCAGGACCTTGTTCGGCGTTTTGAGCTGGCCACTGGGGCCCTTGTTAGTAGGGATAAGTCCTGTCTGATGGAGCTGGGCCTCCCGTTCAGTGTGGGCGGGGTCGTGGTTTCCGGTGGTCAGGTCGCTTCGGGTTCTCGGAGTTACTTGGTTTAGCTCGTATGCCCAATCCTTGGAGTGGAATTGGGATGCGGTGTTTCGGTCGGTTGAGGTGGCGGTTGGTTTGTTATCCTCGCGTCCATTGACGGTTTATCAGCGGGCGATTGTTGTTACTAGCAAAGTTCTTTCGAGGGTGTGGTTTTTGGCTCGGTGCTTCCCTCTGGATCGGCGGCGTGCTCATAGGTTGGAGTGCAGAGTCTATTGGTATGTGTGGTGTGGGAAGTTTCATCCGGTTCGTCGCTCCTCCATGGTTTTGCGGGTGTTGGCATCCCTGATGTTTTTTACCAAGGCATTGGCTTTATTTTGGGTGTCATTGCGTCAGTATTTGGGGGTGGGTGGGGGCTTCGGTGCGCTTGGGGTTTATTTCTGTTCGGTTCGGTTTAGCTATTTGCTCGAGTTAGGGGCTGAGTGTGATGTCGTCTTTTGTACACCTGTTGTGTATTCGTGGGCGGTTGGGATTCTGCGGAAGCTGTCGTGTTCCTGGGTTTTTGTCCCTGTCGTGTCGGGGGGGTTTATGGGGCTCTCCTTCGTCGTGTGAGCCATCGGGTTGAGGGTTTGTTTCCATGCTGGGATTGGGGGGGGGGGGATTTGGTCGGTCTTGGGTGGGCGGCATTTGGCTCCGCAGCAGCGGGAGTTTCTCTTTGGTATGCTGCACGAGTCCTTGCCGTCGAATGATCGTTTGTGTATGCTTGTGTTGCGTTCTTCCGCGGCGTGTGCACATTGTGGATTGGTTGAGACGCAGTTACATGTGTTTTATTTTTGTGAGAGGGTACAGGGTTTAGTTGCTTGGTTGTGTGATGTGATTGCGGTGTTCTGTGGGCCCGGGTTTCGGGGGGGATGTTTTACTGTTCCTGTTTCTTTCGTTTCCTCAGGGCTCCGGGCGACTTCAGAACACCCTGAGTGTCTTGATTGCGGATTATATGTTTTGCGTGTGGGTTGGGCGTTTGGAGTGCTACAGGGTTCGCCCGATTCTGGGTTTTCTGCGGGGGCGTTTGCGTTTCACGTGGTGGTGGTTGCGGCGTGCTTTTCCGGTGAGGTTTGCTGATTGGTTCACTGACGCGTATGTTCAGGGTAATGCTTTGGGGTTGGTGGGGGGTCGGGGGTTTGATTAGTGTATTGGTGTGGTGTCGATGGATTTGGGGGGAGGGCTTGTTGGGTCATTTGGGCGTTTGGGTTGTGTGTATTCCCCCTGCCCCCTGAGGGCTTCCTCGGCGGTGAGTTGTGTGTGTTTGCCTGCGCTGTGCTTTTGTGTTGCTCCTTGTGTGTGTGTGTCCTTGTTGTTTGGGTTTGTGTGTGTTGTGCGTGTGTTTCGTGTTCCTTTGCCGGATCCTGCGTGTTCCGATGTTTGTGTGTGTGTGTGTACTCACCTAGTTGTACTCACCTAGTTGTGTTTGCGGGGGTTGAGCTCTGGCTCTTTGGTCCCGCCTCTCAACCGTCAATCAACAGGTGTACAGATTCATGAGCCTATCGGGCTCTGTCATATCTACCCTTGAAACTGTGTATGGAGTCAGCCTCCACCACATCACTTCCTAATGCATTCCATTTGTCAACCACTCTGACACTAAAAAAGTTCTTTCTAATATCTCTGTGGCTCATTTGGGCACTCAGTTTCCATTTGTGTGTGTGTGTGTGTGTGTGTGTGTGTGTGTGTGTGTGTGTGTGTGTGTGTGTGCTTGGCTGTGGTTCTGGACCTTGTTTCCCAGTTCCCGTGCGTTCTGGTGTTTCATCCTGTTTGTGTGTGTGGGCGTTTTGTTGCGTCCGACTCCTGCGTGCTCCGGTGCTGTGCTCCTGTTTGTGTGGGCTTATGCCTTGTGTGTGTGGCCCTTTTGGGTACTTTTATCAGTCATGCTTCATGTATTTTTCCCTTGTGTTATTTTAATTTTTTTTTTGTGCCGCTGGCTTGTGTGTAGCTGCTCTGTGTGTGCCTTTGTGTTCTCTGTGTTACTCGTGTGGATCTTGTGTTATGCATGATTGGATTTTTTTTTAGGTTGTATTCTTGTGCCAAAAAAGTCTTCATGCTCTTGCATTTGTTTCTGTATAATGCTTGTTGTCTTAAGAGTTCTTTGGGTTCTTTACTATATACTTTGTCAGGCTTTGTATCTTTTTTATTGTGTTTATTGTACTTTTATAAATAAATAAAAAAAACTTCTGAATACTGCCAACTATTACTTAAGCCTTCAGCTCCAGGTGTCTTCAGCACCGAGTCGCCTATTATTCACTAATCATCGGCAAATTTGTAAATGTTGCTACTCAAACCTGAATCTAAATCATTTATATATATATTATAAACAACAGAGGTCCCAGGACAGAGCCTTGAGGCACTCCCCTTACAACATTTTCCCACTCAGACTTAACCCCTTTTATATTATCTGTTTTCTTTGGTATAGTCATGCCCTAATCCAACTTGATATAGCACCCCCAATACCATGAGCCTCGGGGTATTGAAGAGGTGTTAACTGTACACTTGGGAAGAGATGTTAATTGTGGACTGTATAATTAGTGGACAAAGTAGAATTAAGACCCATCTCATTACCTGCACATAAGCCAATGAGAATATTGAGAAAGTACATTACTGACAATGACATAATACACTTGCTACATTGTCATTCTTATTTATTTTATTTATTTATTTATGTTTATTTATTTATATACAAGTTACATTGGGGGTTAACGGAGAATATAGAAAATAAGTTAAATTAACATTCTTGTAAAGCCACTAGCACGCATAGCGTTTCGGGCAAGTTCTTTTTTCTACTTCAATTTAATTCATGCTTTTGATCTCAATTAGTTTTATTTTTAATTAGTCTTAGTTTTTAAGCTTTTTTCCCCCATATCTTGCCCGAAATTCTGTGCGTATTAGTGGCTTTAGGCATAATATATACTAGCTCTATTTAGAAATCCAACATTCTGTTTGTAACTCATTTTATAGACTTATTGTTTACATTTCTTATACATCTACAGAAATGTCTCATTTCAGAGACTTATTGACATAAATAATGTGTGTGTGGCATGAGACAATAGATACCTTTGTCTTATCATAGCTCAGCCAGTGACTAGAATGCTTGAGTTAAGCACTAGAGAACCCCACCCGCCTCGTGGGAACAACGGCTAAGACTATAAATTTAGTCTACCAGCTGTGGAAAAAACAGTCTCCCACACCGCTTGACTTTGAATGTGAATATGTGTAATTCATTATTCGTGAGTCTAGGACAGGAAGGGAGACTTTCCTATCTGTTTCTAAAGTAAGCTGTGTTATAGCTGGAACTTCACTTTTTATACAATTATCTGCGTGGAATTAATTAAGATGTTATCAACATATGGAAATAAAATATTAGAGAAGAGTATTAAGTTTGTGGAGCATTCTCCTCGCAATCACTTCTTAGCATCTTTTGGTCTCTTCTTCTTCTTCTTCTGCGCCTTCTTCAGCATTTTACGCATCTTGTAGTGCTGCCAGGCCCTCTGGATGGTGCGCGCTGCGTGCTCCCTCCGGAACTCAGCCTGCAGGGAGTAAGTAATTATCAAAAGAAGGTGCAAGTCCAGGCAACACAGCACTACCCCCAGAGTATTTAACTAGGATTAACAATTTCCTAGATATTATTCAGGATAAAATACGTGAGCAGGAAGACAAAACGATTGTGGTCATAGAAATCAGACACGAAGGATCATTTGACTAAAAAAAAGATTGGAAATTTAGTTTTCTCACATCTTGAAATCTATGCATTCTCAAGTAGATGCGTAACTGTTAGCGGAACAGAGCCGGTCAGGCAGCAAGAGGCATGTCTCAATTACATCAAGTGCCTATACGCTAACAATATGTTGCCAATACGTAACCTACAAAGAGGTATCTTACCCTTCCTGCCTCCATAAAGAGAAGAAAACAGGATGCTTTTTCATCTAAAAGGGTTATAAACCCATGGAACCGCATACCCGCCGAAGCCGTAAAAGCCAAAACACTGCTGCAGTTTACGATTCAGCTAGATAAAATCATCAGGACAAATGGGGTCGGGGGACATTTGACAAGCTGCCTGCTTCCTGTCCTCGTCGAGGCCACTAGAGAGATGGGGACCCTCAGGTGAAAGAATTCCGAATGTCGGTACCGACAGGAATGTGTGAAGGAGATCGGCTGTGAGTGCGAGGCCAGGAGAAGGGTCATCAAACGTGGAGGACGCAAGTGAAGACTGAAGATGGCGCTCTGAGGGGCCTGCCGTGGCACTGGACGTGATGACAGCCATGAGGAAAGGGCAGGACCGCATACGCAGGATGGTAAGGCGAGGACAGGGAGGCAGAGACGAGGAAGTGAGAAGAGGGACCACACACGGCACCATATTGTGGATATTTAGGAGATACATCCCACGAGATCTGAGTTGCGAGGACACGGAGATGATGGTTCTGGAGCGCGGGACGTGGCTCTAAGATTCCTGCAGAGCCGCCGCCTGAATATATTAAACGTCCATGAAGAAGCCGATGAAAAGGCGCAATAAAAAAAAAAATTTCGTGTGCCTCTCATATTTCTACTCTAGATCTGGAATAATGTCACCTACTGTGGGGGGACTTCAACAGCTGGACCCCACAGTCAACTGGAAGTGGGGGATAAGGAACAGAATCAATATGAGAAGGATCCTAACCTCAGCCTCACTAGCAACTCTTCCTTGGGTCGCTCCACTGATCAAACAGCAGCTGCCAATCATAAACGGTGGCAGCAACATCAGCAGCAGTCACAACAGGTGACGGAGCTGGTCTTGCAGCCGCTGCAACATGAGAAAAAATCCACCAACGATATTGCAGAGCTACTCACGTGTGTGAGGGAACTTGTAAGCAATGACTGCCACCCAAACCCTTCCCCTCCCTCCCTGAACCCTCCAAACATGTGTCCCTGCCAGTCAGATGAAACTTCTAGTGATCTTGAATCCTGGGGTAGTGGAACCCTTCCACGTAAGTTAGTTGCCGAAGCTATATTGAAAACGACTCTTATAGATAAAGACAGATAAAAGTGTACTAAACAATTGAAGGCAAATGTGTTACACTGGTAATGTGCTAAAAAATGATCCAGAACTTATACTGTATTGAAATTTATATAAATAGTTTTAAAAATGTAAATGTTCGCTTGTTAAAAGTCGCTAATCTCAAAGTTTTTTACTGATTGCTTTGAAATTTTCACATAACGTTCCATTCGCATCCGAGTGGTTAAATATATATATATATATATATTGTCGGAAAATCCGACACTATTTAATAATCATACAGATAATAGCTGTATTACCAACAAGTTACCCATAGAAAACGTAACTTGTAGTGGAATTACCGTCTATAGAAAACGGGATATCATCACCACATACTATTATAATTCACCAGCTATTCTGCTGGGAATTGTTCTTAAATACATTAGTCTTTGGACTTTACCATCATAAAAACATCTCATATAAATTAACTTAATTATCAATATTAAAGTAGAGTAAATGTGACCCTTCTATCACTTTCTGACATGTGGACAAAGTAGGCCAGTGTCAACAAATCAAGTTAAGTGTTCTTTCCGAAACCCATTATTTATCATTAGTGGCCATTAATGTCATTATATAGGGTGACCCGGTTAGATCACATGGAAGCCTCAAACTAAAGGTAATTAAGCCAGGTCTTCATGTTCCATGTACTGTTTTCTCTGATATAGCTTGTCATATATAGGATTCTGGCTTCACAGCTAGCGCACTTTTGACAGGTCAAGTCGAGGATGCAAGATTTGTGCACCAGTTACTGGGTGATATGGAAGCTACCTCAAAGAGGATAATTAGGTGTCTACACCCTAGTTATACCTGGTGGACTAACCTGCTGTACTATAAGATAAGGAACCTCTTCAATGTATGTAGTTAATTTTGTAGTTTGATTGGCTGCATATATATATAAACTATTAAACCCCCCCTAATGTGTAGAGGATCGATTTGTGAGATTATGAGATTATTGCAGAAATACAGTCCACTTATCATTATACAAATTGCTATCGAAGTATATAAATTAACGTAAATATAAATTCATATAAATTAAATAAATATAAATCTCACAGGTCGATTCCCACATATATATATATATATATATATATATATATATATATATATATATATATATATATATATATATATATATATATATATATATATATATATATATATATATATGTCGTACCTAGTAGCCAGAACGCACTTCTCTGCCTACTATGCAAGGCCCGATTTGCCTAATAAGCCAAGTTTTCATGAATTAATTGTTTTTCGACTACCTAACCTAACCTAACATATAAAGATAGGTTAGGTTAGGTTAGGTTAGGTAGGGTTGGTTAGGTTCGGTCATATATCTACGTTAATTTTAACTCCAATAAAAAATTTTTTACCTCATACGTAATGAAATAGGTAGCTTTATCATTTCATAAGAAAAAAATTAGAGAAAATATATTAATTCAGGAAAACTTGGCTTATTAGGCAAATCGGGCCTTGCATAGTAGGCTGAGAAGTGCGTTCTGGCTACTAGGTACGACATATATATATATATATAATATGACTGAAAACTCACACCCCAGAAGTGACTCGAACCCATACTCCCAGGAGCAACGCAACTAGTATCTACAGGACGCCTTAATCCGCTTGACCATCACGACCGGACATAAGGAAGTGATAGCCGAAGCTATTTGAACCACTTCCCCGGTCTATAATTGATAGATTGGTGGATGAATAGGTGAATGGAGGAATGGATTGGCGGGTGAGGGGATTGATGGATGAATGAATTGATGGATGTATTGTATTGATATATAAATTAATAGACAGGAATACGTAGACAAATGAATGGATAGACAAATGAATGTACTGATAGATGAATGAATTGATGTATGAATCAACAAATGTGTGACAAGACACATGGATACACCACCTGCATGGCTGCCATCCTCTCCTCTTCAATTCGCTGCTTCTCGGCCAGTATTTCCATGTATCTCTTCTCAACAGTTTCCAGCGACTCCTGTGTGTGATCAATCAATCAACTGTCAGTCTCTATACAGATATTTCTTAAGATTGAGATATACAAGTGGATTGAAGGGTATATCAGGGGGGATATTAACAAGATGCTCAATATATCCACACAAAATAGAACAGGAAACAAGGTATATTGCTTCCTGTTTTACTAAGGAAAGACCTGGGTAAATACTGGTTTGGAAATAGGTTGGTTGATCTATGGAGTAAGTAATCGGGAAAGTATTAGAGGTGGGATCACTTGAGTGTTTCAAGCGTAGGTTACACACATATATGAATGACTTTGGGGGATATCTGTACGAGCTGCCACGTATAGGCCAATAGGTCTATTGGAGTTTCACTTACATATATGTTCCAATTAATAATAATTTAAGCAAAAAATCATTGATTGAATAATGGTAACAATGCATCATGCAGTGATTGTGGAGTGACAGTGTTGGAGTGATGTTGATGGTGACAGTGTTGGAGTGATGTTGATGGTGACAGTGTTGGAGTGATGTTGATGGTGACAGTGTTGGAGTGATGTTGATGGTGACAGTGTTGGAGTGGTGTTGATGGTGACAGTGTTGGAGTGATGTTGAAGGTGACAGTGTTGGAGTGATGTTGATGGTGACAGTGTTGGAGTGAATGGTGACAGTGTTGGAGTGAATGGTGACAGTGTTGGAGAGAATGGTGACAGTGTTGGAGAGAATGGTGACAGTGTTGGAGTGAATGGTGACAGTGTTGGAGTGATGTTGATGGTGACAGTGTTGGAGAACGTCAACCATGACACCTGCTCGCGAAGTGTAGGTGTTGAGGGGTGAGTGTTGAGTAGCGAGTGTTGCAACTCGTTCTCGCACAAGACAGCACATATATGACTTAATGCTTATAGTCAATATTTTACTTATGAATTATTTATATGTGGTATTTTCCTAGTTATTTTTTTTCAAGGCACTAACTCTTCCTTACGTACCAATTTACGTCTCACAGTACCCGTCCATCGTCGTGGACAGCGGAATAGTCGTGATTGGTTCAATTATAATGACAACTGTAGTTTGCAGGTCTAACATTGGTTGTGAAATTTACCTACTATTGTCCATACTCTTAGAATATTACAGATCAGCTACATCCTGTAGAAGGCTCGTAGTTTTGTTTTGAGAAATATCAGTTGTTATCAGTAAATTATAAAAAGCACTATAAATTATTACATAGAATAAGAGAGCTTCAACAATCAACATTATATACAATAGTCTGTGCTTTAAAAATCTTTAAAGAATGTATTGTAGGAATGTTTACAGAAAACGATACTATGTTGGAATGTCTATGGGAAAAACTACTGCAAACAGGTGACAGGTTTTCGCAGCTGGCGGGCAAAATTCGCGATTTTCGCCGCTTCCGGCCAAAAATAGCGCGATTTTCGCCGCTAGCGGCCAAAAATCGGGCGATTTTTGCCGCTAACTGCCGAAAACCGCGCTATTTTCGACGCTAGCGGCCAAAAACTATGCGATTTTTGCAGCTGGCTGGCAAAAATCGCGCGAATTTCGCCGCTACCTGCCAAAAACCGCGCGATTTTCGCCGCTAGCGGCCAAAAACCATGCGATTTTCGCAGCTGGCGGGCAAAAATAGCGCGATTTTTGCCGCTACCGGCCAAAAACCGCGCGACTTTTGCCGCTAGCGGCCAAAAACCATGCGATTTTTGCAGCTGGCGGGCAAAAATAGCGCTATTTTTGCCGCTACCGGACAAAAACCGCGCGATTTTCGCCGCTACCGGCCAAAAACCATGCGATTTTCGCAGCTGGCGGGCAAAAATCGCGATTTTCGCCGCTACCGGCCAAAAATAGCGCAATTTTCACCGCTAGCGGCCGAAAACTGTGCGATTTTCGCCGCTAGTGGCCAAAAATCGGGCGATTTTTGCCGCTAACGGCCGAAAACCGCGCTATTTTGCGCAAAAACCATGCGATTTTCGCAGCTGGCGGGCAAAAATCGCGATTTTCGCCGCTACCAGCCAAAAATAGCGCGATTTTCGCCGCTACTGGCCAAAAACCGCGCGATTTTCGCCGCAAGCGGCCAAAAACCATGCGATTTTCGCAGCTGGCGGGCAAAAATCGCGATTTTCGCCACTACCGGCCAAAAATAGCGCGATTTTCGCCGCTAGCGGCCAAAAACCGTGCGATTTTAGCCGCTAGCGGCCAAAAATCGGGCGATTTTTGCCGCTAACTGCCGAAAACCGCGCTATTTTCGACGCTAGCGGCCAGAAACCATGCGATTTTTGCAGCTGGCTGGCAAAAATCGCGCGAATTTCGCCGCTACCTGCCAAAAACTGCGCGATTTTCGCCGCTAGCGGCCAAAAACCATGCGATTTTCGCAGCTGGCGGGCAAAAATAGCGCGATTTTTGCCACTACCGGCCAAAAACCGTGCGATTTTCGCCACTAGCGGCCAAAAATTGCGCGATTTTCGCCGCTAGCCAAAAATACCGCGATTTTCGCCGCTAGCGGCCAAAAACCATGCGATTTTCGCAGCTGGCGGGCAAAAATCGCGATTTTCGCCACTATCGGCCAAAAATAGCGCGATTTTCGACGCTACCGGCCGAAAACCGTGCGATTTTCGCCGCTAGTGGCCAAAAATCGGGCGATTTTTGCCGCTAACGGCTGAAAACCGCGCTATTTTACGCAAAAACCATGCAATTTTCGCAGCTGGCGGGCAAAATCGCGATTTTCGCCGCTACCGGCCAAAAATAGCGTGATTTTCGCCGCTACCGGCCAAAAATCGCGCGATTTTCGCCGCTAGCGGCCAAAAACCATGCGATTTTCACAGCTGGCGGGCAAGAATCGCGATTTTCGCCGCTACCGGCCAAAAATAGCGCGATTTTCGCCGCTAGCGGCCAAAAACCGTGCGATTTTCGCCGCTAGCGGCCAAAAACCATGCGATTCTCGAAGCAGGCGGGGAAAAATCGCGATTTTCGCTGCTACCGGCTAAAAACCGCGCGATTTTCGCCGCTAGCGGCCAAAAACCATGCGATTTTCGAAGCTGGCGGGCAAAAATAGCGCTATTTTCGCCGCTAACGGCCAAAAACCGCGCGATTTTCGCCGCTAGCGGCCAAATACTATGCGATTTTCGAAGCTGGCGGGCAAAAATCGCGATTTTCGACAATACCGGCCAAAAACCGTGCGATTTTCACCGCTAGCGGCCAAAAATCGGGCGATTTTTACCGCTAACGGCCGAAAACCGCGCTATTTTGCGCAAAAACCATGCGATTTTCGCCGCTGGCAGGCAAAAATCGCGATTTTCGCCGCTACCGGCCAAAAATAGCGCGATTTTCGCCGCTACCGGCCAAAAACTGAGCGATTCTCGCCGCTAGCGGCCAAAAACCATGCGATTTTCGCAGCTGGCGGGCAAAAATCGCGATTTTCGCCGCTACCGGCCAAAAATAGCGCGATTTTCGCCGCTAGCGGCCAAAAACCGTGCGATTTTCGCCGCTAGTGGCCAAAAATCGGGCGATTTTTGCCGCTAACGGCCGAAAACCGCGCTATTTTGCGCAAAAACCATGCGATTTTCGCAGATGGCGGGCAAAAATCGCGATTTTCGCCGCTACCGGCCAAAAATAGCGCGATTTTCGCTGCTACTGGCCAAAAACCGCGCGATTTTCGCCGCTAGCGGCCAAAAACCATGCGATTTTAGCAGCTGGCGGGCAAAAATCGCGATTTTTGCCGCTAGCCGGCCAAAAACCGCGCGATTTTTGCCGCTAGCGGCCAAAAACCGTGCGATTTTTGCAGCTGGCGGGCAAAAATAGCGCGATTTTCGCCGCTAGCGGCCAAAAACCGTGCGATTTTAGCCGCTAGCGGCCAAAAATCGGGCGATTTTTGCCGCTAACTGCCGAAAACCGCGCTATTTTCGACGCTAGCGGCCAGAAACCATGCGATTTTTGCAGCTGGCTGGCAAAAATCGCGCGAATTTCGCCGCTACCTGCCAAAAACCGCGCGATTTTCGCCGCTAGCGGCCAAAAACCATGCGATTTTCGCAGCTGGCGGGCAAAAATAGCGCGATTTTTGCCACTACCGGCCAAAAACCGCGCGACTTTTGCCGCTAGCGGCCAAAAACCATGCGATTTTTGCAGCTGGCGGGCAAAAATAGCGCTATTTTCGCCGCTACCTGACAAAAACCGCGCGATTTTCGCCGCTAGCGGCCAAAAACCATGCGATTTTCGCAGCTGGCGGGCAAAAATCGCGATTTTCGCCGCTACCGGCCAAAAATCGTGCGATTTTCGCCGCTAGCGGCCAAAAACCGTGCGATTTTCGCCGCTAGCGGCCAAAAATTGCGCGATTTTCGCCGCTAGCGGCCAAAAACCATGCGATTTTTGCAGCTGGCGGGCAAAAATCGCGATTTTCGCCGCTACCGGCCAAAAATAGCGCGATTTTCGCCGCTAGCTGCTGAAAACCGTGCGATTTTCGCCGCTAGTGGCCAAAAATCGGGCGATTTTTGCCGCTAACGGCTGAAAACCGCGCTATTTTGCGCAAAAACCATGCAATTTTCGCAGGGGGCGGGCAAAAATCGGGATTTTCGCCGCTACCGGCCAAAAATAGCGTGATTTTCGCCGCTACCGGCCAAAAATCGCGCGAGTTTCGCCGCTAGCGGCCAAAAACCATGCGATTTTCACAGCTGGCGGGCAAGAATCGCGATTTTCGCCGCTACCGGCCAAAAATAGCGCGATTTTCGCCGCTAGCGGCCAAAAACCGTGCGATTTTCGCCGCTAGCCGCCAAAAATTGCGCGATTTTCGCCGTTAGTTGCCAAAAACAATGCGATTCTCGAAGCTGGCGGGCAAAAATCGCGATTTTCGCCGCTAGCGGCCAAAAACTATGCGATTTTCGAAGCTGGCGGGCAAAAATCGCGATTTTCGCCGCTACCGGCCAAAAATAGCGCGATTTTCGCCAATAGCGGCCAAAAACCGTGCGATTTTCGCCGCTAGCGGCCAAAAATCGGGCGATTTTTACCGCTAACGGCCGAAAACCGC